TTTTGAGAGTTGGAGTCTCACTCTGTTGCCCAGACTGGAGTGCAGTGGCACACTCCCAGCCACTGCAGCCTCAACCTTCTGGGCTCCGGTGATCCTTTCGCCTCAGCCATCCAAGTAGCTGGAACTAAAGGCGCGCGGTACCACGCCCAGCTAATTTTTTTGATTTATTGTAGAGATGAGGTCTCGCCAAGTTGCCCAGGCGGGTCTCGAACCCGCGGGCTCAGGCAACCCACTCACCTCAGCCTCCCAAGGCGCAGGATTACAGGCTGAGCCACCGAGCCCGGCTTACTATATATATATTTAAATATATATATTTTTTAAAATAGGGAATCTTACTCTGTCGCCGAGGCTGGAGTGCAGTAGCATGATCATGGCTCACTGCAGCCTCAACCTCCTGGGCTCAGGTGATCCTTCCGCCTCAGCCTACAAAATAACTGGGACTATAGGTGTGCGTCACTGTAGCCAGCTAACTTTTTAATTTTTTTTGTAGAAATGAAGCCATGCTATATTGCCCAGGCTGGTCTCGAACTCCTGGCCTCAAACAATCTTCCTGCCTCAGTTTCCCAAGTAGCTGGGACTATAGGTGTGCACCACCACGTCCAGGTGATTTTTAAAAATATTTTGTAGAGACAGTCTTGCTATGTTACCCAGGCTGGTCTTGAACTCCTGGGCTCAAGCAATCCTCTTGCCTCTGTCTCCCAAAGTATTGGGATGACAGATGTGAACTGCCATACCCAGCTTATATTTTAGAGTTTTATAAAGGATGGCAACAGGTGTGCTCTATTGCCTGACAATACTTGGGTTAATGGCTTAGCATCAGTGGGATAAAAAGGTAGGCTTTGCTTTATTGAACCCTATTTCTTTTTTCTTTTTCTTTTTTTTTTTTTGAGTTGAGATCTCACTCTGTCATCCAGGCTGGAGTGCAATGGCACACTCACGGTCACTGCAGCCTTGACCTGCTGGGCTCAAGAGATCCTCCCACCTCAGCCTCCTGAGTAGCTGGAATCACAGGCACACACCACCAAGCCCAGATAATTTTTTGATTGTATTGTAGACATGAGATCTCACCAAGTTGCCCAGGCTGGTCTCGAACCCCCAACCCCCAACTGTGTTTCATGGCCACCCCTAACCGCAAGAGAGCCTGGGACAGCTAGTATTGCCAAGCCAGGCTCACTACCACTTCAACGCAGTCAGAGCTCTATCAATGGAGAAGAAGCAAGAGGAGGGCGTGTCCCGAGTAGGTGCTTGGAGGCTTGCCTAGGCAGATGACTCAGGCAGTCACGGGGGCACCTCCCTGGGGGACAGTGGCAGGGAGCCCCCTCAACACTGCTAGAGTCACCCAGGTGGGAGAGGATGAGGGTGAGCTCATGCATAAGTGGTGACAGAACTTCACGAACCTGTTGGTATCCAGCCATTTTTGACCTACAAAAATGGTAACTTCATATGGGTCACCCAATCAAGAAAGGAACTCAGAAATATTGACGAGTTCAAATGAGCAGACTTTGCTGATTGATTGAAGGGGGATGATGAGAAAGGTGTTGAGGCTGACTCTGAGGCACCTCAGAGAGTGTGTGTAGGATATATGACACACTCACAGCCACCGCAGCCTTGACGCTGGGCCCAGATGATCGTTCCGCCTCAGTCTTCCAAGTAGCTGGAACTACAGGTGCATGCTACCACACCCAGCTAAGTTTTTGATTTATTGGAGAGATGAGGTCTTACCAAGTCACCCGGGGTGGTCTCGAACCCCTGGGCTCAAGCAATCCTCTTGCCTCTGCCTCCCAAAGTACTGGGATGACAGGCATAAGCCACTGTGCCCGGCTTATTCACTTAATTTTTTGAAATTCAAATGTTTTCTTCCTCCTCCTCTTCCCAGTCCTCTTTTCTTGTGAAAGACTCTGAAGTAACATCTATGTGGTTTTTAGGAGGGGCCACCTCTTGGTCTTTGCAGGTTGTGGATATCCTATGGAGTGACCCCATGGCCCAGGACGGCTGCAAGGCCAACACTGTTCGAGGAGGAGGCTGTTATTTCGGGCCAGATGTGACAGAACAGTTGCTACAGAAATACAGCCTGCAGCTCCTGATTCGCTCGCACGAGTGCAAACCCGAAGGCTATGAATTCTGTCACAACCGCAAGGTGGGTGGACCCTCAGCAGCAGCACAAGTTCATTGTCCCAAAAGTATTCAAAGGGTCCGGGCCAGGATGAGCAAAGTCTCCTGCTTTCTAACCAACTGTACCTTGTACTTGTTACCCACTTGTTCAGAGCAGCTAGGTCCTTTACAGTCGTTGATCCTTGATGGCACTTTAGGAGACCGAAGCAAGAGGATTGCCTGAGCTCAGGGGTTCAAGACCTGCCTGGGCAACTTGGCAAGACCTTGTCTCTACAATAAATCAAAACATAGCCAGACCTGGTGGCACATGCCTGTGGTTCCAGCTACTTGGAAGGCTGAGGCGGAAGGATTACCTGAGCCCAGCATGTCGAGGCTGCAGTGGCCATGAGCGTGCCACTACACTCCAGCCTGGGTGACAGAGTGAGACTCCGACTCATAAGAAAAAAAAAGGGAGGAAGAACCCACAGATGTACACTGGGCAGCAGCAGACACTGAAGTCAGGCAGGACCACGTGGCGCTGAAGACGGCGGCCTCTCCAGTGGATGTGAATGCCTGTCTCTCTCCCCTTTCGATTTAGGTATTGACTATCTTTTCTGCCTCCAACTACTATGAAGTGGGCAGTAACAGAGGGGCCTACGTCAAACTGGGGCCCGCCCTGATCCCACACATCGTGCAGTATCAAGCTAACAAGTCAACCCACACGCTAACCATGAGACAAAGGCAAGACTCTTCTATGAGTGATTTAGAAAAGACGATTATGTTTGTAGAACCTTTGATGTGTCAGATGTCATTATGTTATCCAAATGGTGTCAGCATTTAGCTGTAGAATAGACATGATTTAGAGGGTCTCTTCCTTCTCTTGCATGCACTGTTCGCATCTCTACCTCCCCACCTTGAACTGGAGCAGTAGATTTGTTTTCTGCAGAAGTTATTGTTGTACGCTCACTTGTATCAACACCGCATTTTCTCTCCTGTCCCAGGATTAGCAGAGTGGAGGAGTCAGCTCTGAGAGCTTTACGGGAAAAACTGTTTGCTCATTCCTCAAGTCTTCTCAGCGAGTTTAAGAAGTATGATACAAATAAGACCGGTAAGAATCAGAAAGCAAAATGTTTACAGAGTAAGGAAGCCGGCCTCACAATAGCTAGCAAATCAATATATGCTGAATGAATGAATGATCAAAAGTCCCCTTTGACTATTTTCTTCATTTTATTTGATCTAATGTCTCACGTCCAGCACGGTGGTTCAAGCCTGTCATCCCAGCACTTTGGGAGGCAGAGGTGAGAGGATTACCTGAGCTCAGGGGTTTGAGACCAGCCTGGGCAACATGGTGAGATCTCATCTCTACAATAAATCAAGAAAAATTAGCTGAGTGTGGTTCCAGCTACTTGGAAGGCTGAGGAGGAAGGATCACCTGAACCCTCGTGGCCGAGGTGGCTGTGAGAGTGCCACTGCAGGCTGGGCTCGGTGGCTCAGCCTGTAATCCCACGCCTTTGGGAGGCTGAGGTGAGTGAATTGCCTGAGCCCACGGGTTCG